TTGCCTATGTCCCAACATGTGGTCTATCTTTGAGAATGTCCCATGTGCACTTGAGAAGAATGTATATTCTGTGGCTTTGGGGTGGAATGATCTGAAGATGTTGATTTTTTCCATCTGGTCTAGGGAGTCATTGAGGATTGATATTTCTTTGCTGATTTTTTGTTTAGATGATTTGTCCAAAGGTGACAGTGGGGCATTAAAATCTCCTACTATGATTGTATTGCTATTAATCTCTCCCTTAATATCCTCCAGCAGTTGTTTTATGTACTTGGGTGCTTCTGTATTGGGTGCATATATGTTTACCAGGGTTATATCTTCTGTTGTATTGCTCCCTTTAGTATTATGAAGTGGCCTTCATTATCTCTTGTTATGACCTTCACTCTGAGATCTAATTTGTTAGATATAGGTATTGATACCCCAGATTTTTTTTTTTTTTCATTTCCGTTCGCCTGGAAAACTTTTTTCTATCCCTTCACCCTCAGTCTGTGTGCATCTTTTTTTCTGAGGTGCATTTCTTGTAGACAACAGATATATGGGTTTTGTTTTCTTATCCAATCTGTTACCCTATGTCTTTTGATTGGAGCATTTAATCCGTTTATATTTACAGTTATTATTGATAGGTACTTATTTGACACCATTTTTATTCTATGCCCCTGTGTTCCCTCTTAGCTTCCTATTTCTTTATTTTTACAGTAGACCCTTTAGCATTTCTTGCATTGCTGGTTTGGTGTAGATAAATTCCTTTAGTCTTTCTTTGTCTGTGAAGCTCCTGATTTCCCCTTCAATTTTGATTGATAGCCTTGCTGGGTACAGTATTCCTGGATTCAGACCCTTCCTTTGCATGACTTTGTATATTTCATCCCATTCCCTTCTGGCCTGATGAGTTTCTGTTGAGAAATCAGTTGCTAGTCTTATGGGGGTTCCTTTATATGTGACTTTCTGCCTCTCTCTGGCTGCTTTTAAGATTCTTACTTTGTCGTTGGTGTTTGCCAATTTAATTATAATGGCATTGGTCTTTTAGGATTCAGTTTGCTTGTGACTCTGCGAGCTTGTGACTCTTGGATTTGTGTGGTTTTTTCCTACTCTATCTCAGGAATGTTATCTGTCATTATTTCTTGAGATATGTTTTCCATATCTTCCTCAGTTTCCTTTCCTTCTGGAACCCCTATTATTCTAATATTCTTTTGTTTTGTATTCTCACAAAGCTCCCATAGGCTCAGCTGCTTTTTAATTTTTTTTTTTCTAGAAGCTGCTCTAATTGGGTATTTTTTTCCATCTTGTCTTCTATCACACTGATGTGGTCCTCTGCTTCTTCTAGTCTGCTCTTGGTGCTTTCTATTGAGTTCTTCATAGTAGTGATGTCATTTTTCATCTCTTCTTGGTTCATCTTCATTTCCTCTTGGTTCTTCTTCATTTCCTTTTGGTTCTTACTCATATTGTCAAATTTGTCTTCCATTCTTTTTAGCCATCTTATGATCATTACTCTGAATTCTTGCTCTGGTACATTGCTTGCCTCTAACTCGTTTACCTCCTTTTCTTTCATTTGTGGGCTGTTTCTTTGTCTCCCCATGGTCTCTATTTTCAGGATATCTGGTTATGTAGATCTCTCTCTCCTGCATTGATTTAAAGGCCCAAAATACAACGCAACCAGGTACAACACACAAGGCACTATACAGAAATGTGTTTGTGATATTAATAACCTCCAATAAAGGTGACCACTAGGGAAAGGCAAATTAGGGGATAGGAGAGAAAGAAGAAGAAGAATATATATATATATATATATATATATATATATATATATATATATATATATGAGTGTCAAGATGAAATTTGGGAACAGGGAGAAGAAAAAAGAGAGATAGAAAGAGAGAGGGAGAGAGAGAGAGAGGGAGAGAGAGAGAGAGAGAGAGAGAGAGAGAGAGAGAGAGAAGAAAATGACTGAGGGAGAAAAGGGGAACAAACTATATATATGGGGAGAGAATTTTAATAGAACAACCACTAACCCCAGCAAATGCTGGCAACTGTACCTGGAGAATAATACAATCTACTCATCCACTAATATCCAGTCAAGGAAGGGAAAACATAAGGAAAAAAAGCAAATAAAAAATAACAAGCAACCACAACAACAAAAGAATAAGCAAAATACTCTCACTAAAAAGCATAAAAATACAATATAATCAACATTCACACAAACAGCGTCAAAAGGACAGAGAGGAATATATATATTTGCTAGTTAATACAGCTCAGAGAGGGGTGTGTATGCACTTGGCACAGGGGATTAGAAATTAGATATATAAGTAGGGTAGAAATTTTAGCAGGGGGGAGACAGAAAGAGTAGGGAAAATCTAAAGAAGAAAAGGGTTAAGATAAATAGGTAGCAAAAGGGGGTAGGTTAGGAAGAGAGTGGAGAGTGATGGTGTAAAGGTCATGTTGAGATTGGGTAAACAACGCTAAAGGAAAAATGAAGATAGAATGAAGAACACTAATTCCAATGTAAAATAAAGACAAAATAAAATGGCACTTAAAAAAAAGTTAAAATAGCAGTAGTAATAATGCTGATTAAACCTAAAAATGTAATAATTAAAACGTTAAAATCAAGTGAGGAAAAAAGGAAAAAAATTGTTTCTTAAGTAAAAGATGCAAAAAATGAAAATAAAATAAAAAAATTAGCAAAAAAAAAAGTGTGCATTTGTGAAGGCTATTCACATTCACTTCTTCTATTATTCTGTTTGGCACACCTATTTCTCAGTCCAGACAGTATTGCAGTTCCTTGCATTCTGCTGCACCTCAGTGTTGTAAACTTGTCCTTAATTTTAAGATGGCGATTTCTTAGTTTCTTGGTTTTTGATTAAATAAAACTACTAATAAACACAGTAAGTTTGTACTCCAGCCCCTAGGTGGAAGTGTTTCTGGATTGATGTCCCCGTCTTTTTGGCTGATCTAGCCTTCTTTTTCTATGGAACTCAATACAGTTTTTGTCTTGGAGTTGAAACCCGGATGATTTCTCCCAGCTCAGGGCCAGCCAATCTGGGTGGTCTCTCCTTTGTAATCAGAAGCAAAGGATTGCAGGGGAACCAGCGTAGGTGCTTGATGAGCCAGTCTGTGCGCACTTACAAACAGACTGTATACCTTTCCAACTCCTATGTTCTCCCTCCACGTCTGATCAGAATGTGTTGCTCCCTAGAGAACCCCACTATTAGCAACCTTGGAGACCCCTGTCCATTCTCTTGAATCACGCCAGACCCACCAGAGGGTGGCTCTTGTGGACAGAGATTTCCACAGTCCCAGTGCACAGGCTTTTGTCTCTGCTACCACAGCGGTCCGCAGCAACTGCAGCTGCTGCCTCTGCAGCCGGGACACAGACACTCCACGTTATCCCCGGCAAAATCCAACCTTTCTGTGAAATCCGTGTGTCCACACTGGCCAGGACCCCACAGATGCTCAGTGGTCTCCAACTACAGTTGTGGTTTTTTTCAAGTCTCAGATCAGATCCCCAGTTGCAGCTCTGATGTGGCTGTGAGAGGCAGCACGTACAGTGTTTACCTTGCCGCCATCTTCCAGGAGCTCCAAGCCTTTATTATTATGGTCTTTCTATGCTGATGAAACTTTTGAGTGTATGTTGTTTTTAAACAAATCTTATGAGCTGTGCCTGATGATTAAGTAACTTTTGATATTAACACTTACTATAAACTGAACATGAATAGCTAATTTTATGTGATGAGGCTGTTTTATTTTCCCACAGTCTTTTTAGAGATGATTATTAGTTGACTTGCAGTATTACTTCCTACATTGCATCTCCTTAAGCTTCCAAAAATTCCAGATTCCTTAATTAGTGCCCTAGTATTCACTTTAAATATTTGTATACTTATTTTCTTACTTCATACAATATCTATTTCTGTCACATGTTTTCTGTTATATGTATATGATATTATTGAAGAATATCAAGGCAAAATTCTCAGCTAGTTTCTAGTGCCGATATTCTTCCAATAGTCACTAAAATGGTCACATGAAAATATATGGTTAATATTTGGGAGATGAAGGGCAAAAATCACTAGAAAAGTGATAGGGTAATCTAAACTGAGGTGATTTATTTTGTTTTTCATCACTAAAGATTATTAATAATATGTCATGGCTAGGTGGCTCAGTTGGTTGTAACATCATCCCACACACTGAAAAGTTTTGGGTTCAATTCCTGGTCAGAGCATATACCTAGGTTGCAGGTTCAATCCCCAGTTATGGTCCTTCGGGAGGCAACCAATTGATGTTTCTCTCTCTCTCTCTTCCTTTCTTCCGTCCTTTCTCTCTCAATCAATAAAAACATATCCTCAGGTGAGGATTAAGATAAAAAATTATTGACAATATCATGTCAATTTAGCTTTGTGCCATGCACTGTGCCTGAACATTTGTATAAGTTATAACTAATCCTAATAATAAGAACCTTGTAATGTGAACATTATTTTCCTATATTTAAAGACGATTCGACTGAAAATCAGATTTACTAGCACAGGTAACAGCTAGGACTTGAACGCAGATCTGTCTAACTTAAAACTTTTTAATTCCTTCCATAATTCCAAAGTGAAAGGTCAACCTAAAAGGTAAAAATGGTCAACCCGAAAGGTAAAAATAATGTAATGCAGCGCCTTATAGTATAGCATTGGTGTCATCTTTTTAAACATTTTTTACGTACAAGTTTCTTTTTGTTGTCTTGAAAATATGTAGATTTGTATTGCTCCACTATAAAAATTAAAAATAACTAAATATGGCTTTAAAGTACCAACCCATATCTTGACATTATCAGCAGTATCTGTTGGATGTATTGACTGTTATCTGTGGAAGTTATTACATCATACCTTTAATGAATGTGTGTGATGAATTATAGGGAAGAGGAAAATGAAGGACAGGGTTAATATTATAAGAAAAACACGTCAGCTTATGTGATATTAAATAAAAGTAAATATTTAATTATTTCATAATACTTACCATCTGCTTTTTATTTTTAGGTGATATTATAAAAGCAGTAACTGAACTGGATAGAGTGCATGTCATCAGTATCTTGGATATCTGTAATTTGGGTAACAACAAAGTAGAAGTCTATTTGCATAAAATTTATAGACCAGATAATGCTCCTTAAAATTGGCAAGTGGAATTATTACAGATTGTTAAATAAGGCAATATCTTAATTATATTCTATCATTTTGTTGGTAATTTTGATAACCTTTTCTGCAAGAATAATACATAAGCTCTCCAGTTAAGTAGTTTAATGCTTATTTTGTATTTGGAGTTAACAGACTTCAGTTTAACTTCATTACTGAACCAGTCATCAGAAAAACTTATGTGTATCAAGAAAATTTTCGTTACATTGATATGACTATTATCTTGACTTTTAATAATTTATGTTCAATATCTTATTTATGAAGTGTACATTTATTCTAAAGCCTCAGCATATGACTTTTTGACTTGAGAAGAGTAACTTCATAGCCATTTAACATCCTGCAACTTTTATTCACCTATAATGGGAAATTTTGAGTTGCTAATTTGAAGATTAAATGCTTCTAAAATGGTCAATCTGCATTTCTTACAACCAAGGTAGTTTCTATCATTTTCAACAGCACACAATAATTGTTATGATCTAGTTGCCCCATTCTTTAATTTAGTCAGCTATAAGTGTGCATGAATTAAATTGTCTTAAGGTTTTTCACTTCCTATTGTGACTTCATATCATTTGAATTTCTAAATGTGTTCACAGTCTGTTATTTTAAAGCCAGAGGCTACAATATGTCTAGATTTTAGCTGTATTCAGTTGTAATTTGGATACATGTAATGTGAGCTTAAATAGTATCTCATATTAACATTTTAAGTGCTCATATTCAAACTATAAAACAGTAACTAAGGACATTGATTTTATTCTGGTTGTTTATTATGCTTCCACATTTGCAAAGCCTTTTGGTTGACATCTATGTTTATCTATGACCAACACATGAGTTAAAAATTATTCTGTATCAAGTTGAATCTGATTATAGTTAAGCTATTAATTTCTGGGGTTTCCTTGGAGCCCTATTGGTCTGTGACTTCATATGCTTTACATTTAAAATGTATTGGGCAGCTCATAAACCTAAAAACAGATGCTGCAGTTTGTCCATAAAGGTGTATGGTCTTTTGTTCTTCATAATTGTGTTTAAATGTTAATTAGAATTGCAAATCCTTTTGTGATAAAATTCTGAGTGTGTTATTAAAAAATTTAAAAAACAATAACTTTTTTGGACACCTGTCTTATTTTGAGTGGATTTAATTTCTTACTTCCATATGTATTTTTGGTCATGAGAGATCTATATGTACCAAATGAACCAATGAATGAACCAATATGAATCATCCATATGGGTTGAAGATTGTTGTTTTGTCAAAAAAAAAAAAAAAAAAAAGCTGGGTTTTGGTATTTAGTTATAATAAACTCAAATATAAGGAAATTTAATTTTAGTGCGACATAAATTTTGGGGAAGGGAAAAATAATACTTAAGAAGCACAATTTACAATAGCTAGTCTGATGGGGGTTCCTTTATATGTAACATTCTGTCTCTCTCTGGCTGCTTTTCAAATTCTTTTTTTGTCGTTGGTGTTTGCCAGCTTAATTATAATGTGTCTAGGGGTCGGTTTTCTGGGGTCCATTTTGCTTGGGACTCTGTGAGCATCTTGGATTTGTGTGGGTTTTTTCTTGTCTATCTCAGGAAAGTTTTCTGTCATTATTTCTTGAAATACATTTTCCATGTCTTCCTCAATTCCCTTTTCTTCTGGAACCCCTATTACTCTAATATTGTTTTGTTTTGTATTGGCCCAAAGTTTTCTTAGACTTTCCTCCTGTTTTTTAATTTTTTTCCCCCCAGAAGCTGTTCTAATTGGGTATTTTTTTCCATCTTGTCTTCTAGCTAGCTGATGCGGTCCTCTGCTTCTTCTAATCTACTCTTGATGCTTTCTATTGAGTTCTTTACAGTAGCGATGTCATTTTTTATTTCTTCTTGGTTCTTCTTCATTTCCTCTTGGTTCTTACTCATGTTGTCAAATTGTCTTCCATTCTTTTTAGCCATCTTATGATCATTACTCTGAATTCTTGCTCTGGTAGGTTGCTTCCCTCTATCTCGTTTACTTCCTTTTCTGGTGAAGCCTGCTTTTCTTTCATATGCGGGCTGTTTTTTGGTCTCCCCATGATCTAGGATGTCTGGTTGTGTAGTTCTCTCTCTCCTGCTTTGATTTAAAGGCACAAAATACAACACTACCAGGTACAACACACAAGGGACTGAATGGGGATGTGTTTGCAATATTAATAACCACCAATAAGGGTGACTAGAACCCAGCTAGCAAAAACATACAATCAAACAAAAAGCATAGGCAAATCAATCTTATAAAAAAAAAAAAAGCATACAACTTCAGAATAGTTAACTTTCAACATACAACTTCAAAGAGTTAGAGAGAAAGACTTTTTTGTTTTGTTTTGTTTTGTTTTGTTTTGTTTTTAGGACAACTGCGAGGGAGGTGTGAATGGGCTCGGAGCAAGTAGTTGGAAATTAGATATATACAAGTAGGGTGAAATTTTAGGAGGGGGTAGACAGAAGGAATGGGGAAAATCTAGAGCAGGAAAGGGTTAAGATAAACAGGGTACCAAAGGAAAAGATCGGAAAGAGGGTGAAGGCATAAAGGAAAGGTTGAGATAGAATAAAGCGTTGGAGAAGGAAAGATAGATAAAGACTGTAGAACAGTAATTCTGAAATAAAAAAAATATATATATAATCAAATGAAATAAAAATAATAAAAATAAACAAAAGAAAATAAGATGAGAAAGGTAACTTAGTAGTAGTAATAATGTTGATTATGTATACAATGTAATAATTATAAAGATAAATGAAGTGAGGAAAAAGAAAAAAATAGTTTCTTGAGTAAACGTTGCAAATAATGAAAACAAAAATAAAAAACAAAAATTTAAAAATTAAAACAAAATAATAAAATTTAAAAAATTTAAATAAAATTTGCAGTAATGAAGGTCATTCGCTTCCTCTATTGTTATGATCCAGTCCTGATTTTTAGGCAGGTTTTGCTTTGTTTTTATTACACTAGAGTCAATTTGTGAATTAGCCTCTGGGGACAGTGTTTCTAGGTTGACTTCCCAGACTCTAGAGCCTCTCTAGCTATTTTTTTTTTCCTTCTGTCCTCTCTGGAGCAGGAACTACGGAGTGGGGGAGGGGGCAGGTCCAAGCAACTGCAATCTTCTGCAACTCTCTGATACCCCTCCGCACCTGATCCAAATGTGTTGCTCTTTAGATATCTCCCCTGTTAGGAGCCCTGTCCACTTTCACGGGTGACACCCGCCCAACAGCTGGGGCTTCTACTTGTAATCACCGCTCTTGTCCTCCAGCTTCTGCGTGCTCTGTGCGCGCAGGCTTTGTTTTCCCCGCGAGTGCTCTCCACCCTCTCCCGGTGAAATCTGACCTTTTTGCTGAGCAGTGGGGCACTCCTGTGAGGCCAGGTGTTCGCACAGCCTGGGATCTGCGTTCTGGGGGTCACAGTTGCTTGTTGGTCTCTGTGGCTGTTGATATTCAGGCCTCTGACAAGATCCTATCTTCCTCTCAAGATGGCGAGGTTTCCCTATCCAAGCTGGTAGGTAGCTTTGGGCAGGGCCATAGCCCGCGTGGGTGCTTCCCTGTGAGGGGTACCTCTGTCAGCAGCCCCCCAGCAGTTTCTTCTGGTGTTCGCTGTCTCCCAGCTTGCTAATAAACACTCACAGCTCAAGACCATCAGTTTCTCTCTCTTTGTGCTTCGGGAGAGGGCTCAGATTCCGCCCATCTATTATTCCGCCATCTTCCCAACCTCAATATGAACTTTTTTAAAATTTCGAATTTTTAAAAGAAAATTTCTTGGCAGTTTATTTTATATTCTAGTGATATTTCTATCCAAATTTGGAGTTAAAACATGTGTGTCATTAAGTCTGGATGTTGCAAAATTAGATCACTCCTGTGGCAGTTTCCTAAGAATAGAAAACTATCTACAGAAGAACATATCATCAAGTGACAATGTTTTCATTAATTCCAAAGTCAACACAAATATACTACTGTGACATCACATTTATATTAACAAGTCAATGAGTAAATTATGAAATAATGCATAGTCTACCAGGGACCACAGTCTCTCACTGAAGTTTCTAATGTTATATGGCACATGAGATATACACATTGAAATATTTTGGTAAAGTATTAAAAGAGGAAACTTAGCATATGTCCCTCAGCCATTCTTATGTCTTTGTTAGAAATGTATTGCATTCATTTTAAGAAAAGGGATTTTAAGAAATGTGAAACCCTTATTTGGTGACACTAATAATATTTGATGTTTTTATCTAGAAACTATGTGGTAATATGGACTATAGATTATAACCAATTGTATTATTATTAGAAGCCCAGTGCACGAAATCCATGCATAGGGTGGAGGGTGCCCCTCAGCCCAGCCTGCATCCTCTCCAATCTGGGACCCCACAAGGGATGTCCAACTGTCCATTTAGGCCTAATCTGGGTGGGATCGGGCCTAAACAGGCAGTCATACATCCCTCTCACAATTCAGGACTGCTGGCTCCCAACCACTCGCCTGCCTGTCTGCTTGATTGACCCTAACTGCTTCTGCCGGCAAGCCTGATCACACACTAACCACTCCCCTGACAGACTGATTGACTCCTGACTGCTCCACTGCCAGCCTGATTGCCCCCAACTACCCTCCCCTACAGGCCTGATTGCCCCCAACTGCCCTCCTCTGCTGGCCTGGTCACCCCCAACTACCCTCCTCTGTAGGCCTGGCCCTCTCAACTACCCTCCCGTGCAGGCCTGGTCCATCCCAACTGTCCTCCCCTGCATGCCTGGTCCCCCTTATTTGCCCTCACTTACAGGCCTGGTTCCCCCAACTGCTGTCCTCTGCAGACCTGGTTGCCTCTAACTGCCCTTCCCTACAGGCCTGGTTCACCCCCAACTGCCTTCCTCTGCCAGTCTGGTCACCCCTAACTTCCTTCCCCTGCAGGCCTTGTCCTCCTTTGGCGGCCTGGTCACCGCTAACTGCCCTCCCTTGTAGGCCTGATGCCCCTAACTGTCCACCCATGCAGGCCCG